GGGAGATTTTTTTTTTAAATCTGCGTTAATCGAAAGAATATTTTAAAACGCTCACGATCGAGCTGAAAGCTGTTGATATGGAAACAAGTAATGTAAAGTCGAAAACAAAGGGGATCCATAAAAGCATTACTTATCTTAAAATGCTAAATTCTATATAAAAAACAATGTATTTTTTAGGGCTCCATTTCTCTTGTGTTAGCTCAAACCAATACGCTCTTGTTCTTTAACTAAACCAAGTGCGGCATTAATCTAAATAAGAGGTGTTTGGGCGAATCTTTAAAATGGAGAAGCCTAACTTCCTTGAAGATCAGCTTATGTTTTCCGGCATTTTGTCCGGCCTGAAAAGCAATCGAAGTCAATAAATTCCTTTGTAAGTCTTCAATAAATGTCGGTTAACTGTGAAACAATAGGAATGGAAAAACTAGTTTTTTTCCCCAGCGCTTATTCGAAACAAGATGAAAATAATCTATTTAAATTCATACATTTTGTTTTTTCGTTTAAAGCGTTTTTTCAACAAGTTGAAATGAAAAACAAAGAATCACTCATCAGTCAAAACTAAATTGCAGCAAATTTTAAAAACATATTATTATCTTAAAACCAGATGATTTATAAATATATCTCATGAAATAAATAAGCTAGAGTTATCTATATTGTTCCTTGCACATGTTTATTTGAATATATAGGATTCTAATAGATAGGATTAATTAAACGTTATATTTAATGGATACCCATATTTGAGCAGATGATCTGTTTATTTATTAAACAGTATATTTATTTATTTTCATCTACCGGCCTGAATATTCCTGAAATCTTAAAGAAAAATGTGCGTCCTCCTACCGGATTCGAAACTGCGTAACTTAGATTAGAGGAATCTGCCGTTAAATCCGACAGGCTTTAAACTTCTCGGTCACGTGGCACCTCGGTGGTCAAGCAAAGTTGAATAGTGTCTTGAAACAAAGGTTTTTCTCTGACTCTCGAAATAGATATATATCCTTAGTTTCGTATACAAACGTAAACAAAGCAATTTCTAAGGAAAGGGATGAGATTTGTTTTTATTGATAAATCCGACATATTTTATTACAGAAACCTTATTTTTAGTGGATAACCATATTTGAGTAGAATAATTTTTATTATTATTATTATTGAACGGTATGTTTATTTTATTTAATACTGCCTACAGACCTGAATATTCGAGAAGTTTTATTAAAGAAAATAGCAGCTCTCCGATAGGATTCGAACGTGCGTCCCTCTGGGACTAGTGAAATTGTCGTTAGATCAGACACGTTTTAGATCTCTCTGACACGAAGTGCGCCGATGATAGCTGGGAATAAAAGATGGAGGTTCATACCTTTCCCAAGAATATTTGCCCGTAAGTAAATATAACGAAACCAACAGGAATTAGAACCTATCTCTCCGATTAACAATTCAGACGTTTCCCTCATTGCACCACCTGCACACCCAAGCTTACAGTAACTGGATAACTGGATTGTTTCAACAAGTGATGGTGAAAATAAATAAATTCTGTGTTAAGTCTCCGGGTTATATTTAGATTAAAATAAAAGAACTGAAATCAGGTTTAACATTTTTTTTTCAATTCTTTAAAGTAAACAAAATAAGCTAATGGTGAGTGAAATATAATGGAATTGAATTTAAGTAAAAAGAAATAAATTATGTAATATTAATGAAAATTTATCAAAGTAAGTATGCCACGTATGCAAAAGAAATAATGTAACGAGGATTTTTTAATCGCTGTTGCATGATGATTCTTTCTCTTCTAGTGTCCATTATTTACATTATTCGGACTATTGTCCTCATCTTTGTCGCCATATTTATTACAACGTTTCGGCCATTGTACGCTCCGGCTTTCTTCAGGTTGTTGGAATGTCGAACTGAACCCTTTCTTTCGCTCACGGGGGTAAACTGTCCTAGTTCCACGTGCCATGTTTAATGGATGTCAGTTATCAGTTATCTCCTGTTAATTTCCCTCTGAAAGTTCCCCACTGCCGGGTATTGAACTCACATTCTTCGTGTCCTGTCACTGGATCTAACCAACGCCTTTATCCACTGTGCTATGTGTCCTTCTAATGTCATTCTCAACTTTTTTCCGTATTTTTTTTTGCTTTTGTTCTTGAATTTTTTTAAACGAAAGACACATTGTTATCTCTGAGTGGATTATTGAAAATCGTCATAGATGAATGCTGGCTTTCTTTCCATAAAACTGACAACCTTTTCAATTGCTTTTTCAGTTTCAGTCCAGGTTTTATTACAGTCATGCATATCGTCGCTATCTTGATGCAGATGTGTCTCGTTGTCATCCTTTCTTTTTACTCCCATCATGTTTTGCACCAATACATGACAGTAGGGTGAAATAAAGATAAGCAAAGTAAATTTCCTGAAAAACAGAAATTTCAAATCAGTTACATATCACTTAAATATTTCAAATATACACATCAAAATCATGTCTACATAGACAGGATTCCGGATATGAGGGATTCCAGATATGGGGATTCCGGATATGGGGGATTATACTGTATGAAAAATATTTACCGACAAAATAGCTTTTTGTCTATTTTACTCGGACCGGCAAAATGGCGCCTTCCTAAACAAAAAATCAATTTGCTTAGAAATTTTTACATCCAGAATAGCTTCTCTATTTCCTTGCCGACGGCTTGATTTTCTATTTGCTTCAGCCTTGCCAAGAATTATTTATACACTGATATCCTCGTAAGATTTCTGGTTTCCCATTCATTTTTCTTGTTTAGTTTATGTTTTAGATTATGACCGGAGATGGCCAGTAACACTCTTTGTTATCCTCGTCTGATCTTGCTTCTCATATGAATGCCATAAATGGCGTCTAACACTTTCCGAAAATGCTAAACTATCAGCTACATAAAATCGTCCTCTCTGATCAATAAATATAATGGCTTCATGCGAGTAAACCTTCTGGGACTGAAAGAAGACAGACCTTCATCAGATCTTTTACACTGGCGCTATACAAACACTAACATGGATGTTTACCAAAATAAAAAAAAGACATCACATCACTTTAAGACTTCCAACAGATGTAAGAACTAAAATGAATATCACATGTTCACTTTTTACCCTATCTTAAGCAAAAGGTTTCAGAAGAAATCTGCCATCAGTATTAGAAGTGTATGCATATTTAGAAAAGTAGAAAGACACTATGCCCATTGCCAAAGTATATTTTATGTCACTTCTTCAATTTTTTTCTTTTATTAAAAGAATTTGGGACAATCAAGAAAAGGAAGGTTTCAATAAAGTTAATCCTTCTTAAGATCTTGCAGGTTAGGTCTACAGAATCATAAATAAAGACCTTTTAACAAATAACAAACCTACCTAACATGAAGATTTCCGACAGACGTAACTACTAAACTATATAGCACATGCAGGGAAAAATGATATAACAAAGTTGTTGACATTTCCTGCTATGTTAAAGAAATGTTTGGAAGAACGTTTCAATCAGTAATGGAAAGAGCACTAACATTTAGAAGAAAAGAAATGACTATTTTCCTGAAACAATTTTTGAAAACAAATATAATATACAGAGTGTCCATAAAGTACGTGTGCACGTTAAAAAATTTATAACTTTATTTGTATTTGCGATAGAAATAATTTGTAAAAAATGTTATAAAGTTTAATGTACCTAGTTTTAAGTATAACTAAAATAACTAATGTGATTTCAGGCATTACTGTAAATCAATTGTCAAATGTTTTCCTTGAACTACAAAATCGTATTACCCTTTGTATTGCTAATGATAGAGAACATGTGGAAACTTAAATAAAATTTCAATAAAACCTTAAAAAATATAGATTTACTTCTTTCTAATCCTTTTTACAAATTATTTCTATCGCAAAAACAAATTAAGTTATATGTTTTTAAAGTGCACACAAACTTTATGGACACTCTGTATTCCAAATGTCAACCGGCAGTTAGGTAACTGTTCGGTCAATGGATACCAAATATTTTCTGTTTAAGAACGGCCATTCTCACTATTACCATAATCTTATACATGATTCTGCATCTCGAGATAATTTATTTTCACAGATACCGACGGTTGAAACAAAATATATTTAAACGATGATACGAAAGCCGATGCGAATGGCCGTCGGGCAATTTTTCTGGATCTTCTCGTTCGAGGAATCGGATAGTTATTGAAAACAATTCGTAGACAGCGAGGAAGCCTTTGAAAACAATAAATATCCGGGTGCGCCTGTTGAGATATCATGAAAGAAAAAAAAAACGTTTTTCCCGTTTTTTTTTTGTTATTATTATGGCATTGGAACTTGCTGGGATTCAAAACAATTTGTACGCCGTGATGAGCGCAGTGAAAGCAATAGTGTCTAGGCGAGGCAAACGAGATAAATTTTCCTTAACGCGAACAACGTCATGAGAAACATCCAACCCTGTGAATTTGAATAAAGTGTTTATTTTTAATCTTCCCAGGTGGTTACCAACAATAAGTCTGATGCATAAAAAAATGCCGAGATGATGTGAGGAAGACACAAGTTTAATTAAATTATCAGGGTGATAATAATTTAAAAATTCCGCCAAACCCTTCTTCGAAATATTTTCATCGGTAATCAGAGTTGAGACTTTGGTTCTTTTCGATTTCACACTCGTCTTGTAAGATAAATATTCACGAGAATTCTCAAAAGATTTTTATTACTGATTGAAACGTTCTTCCAAACATTTTCTTTAACATAGCAGGAAATATCAACAGCTTCGTTATATCATTTTTCCCTGCATGTGCTATGCATTTTAGTAGTTACGGCTGTCGGAAATCTTCAGGTAAGGTGCTTTTGTTATTTTTTAATGTTCTCTATTTATGAATTTGTAGCCCTAAGCTGCAAGATCTTAAGAAGGGTTACCTTAATTGAAACCTCCTTTTGCTTGGTTGTCCCAAATTATTTTAATAAAGAAAATAAATTGAAGGCGTGACATAAAATATACTTTTCTACGTATCGATATAATTTTGGCAATGGGCATAGTTTTTATCTACTTCCCTAAATATGCATACACTAAGGTAAGCCCCTTCTAATACTGATGGCAGACTCCTTCTGAAACATTTTGCTTAAGATAGGGTAAAAAGTGAACATGTGGTATCCATTTTAGTTCTTACATCTGTTGGAAGTCTTAAAGTGATGTGTTGTCTTTTTTTATTTTGGTAAACATCCATGTTAGTGTCTGTATAGCGCCGGTTTAAAAGATCTGATGAAGGTTTGTTTTCTTTCAGTCCCAGAAGGTTTACTCGCTTGAAGGCATTATATTTAACAAGATATCCATATGTTTGTAAAAGTTATTTTTTGCTTTATATCATTCAGTCTTTTAGTGGCCAGTCTGTAGAAAAGAAAAAGGAAGCGAAGTTTCGGTGATAGAAAAGTGACTGAAGCCGAGATGCCAAGTCAGGACCAATAAATTTGCAAATTATTTTTTGAATCTCATCAAGAATTTCTAAATTCATAGCCGAAGCAAATCTTTGAATCGATAAAAAAAATTGATAAAATATAAACAAAAATTAATATTATTATATAGGTTGGCCAGTGAAAAACTGAACGGTTTTAAAAAGTCTTATCTTGTTCGCTTTCAATCTTTTCTTTTCTTTTTTTATTACAGGTTTGAGAGTATCCCTTGGAGATAAAAATGGCTACGTATGATGACCAGTGACAATTAAAACTCATTGAGTTTTTCTATTCCAATGAAAGATCAATTATTCAAACTCTGAGAAAATAGCGGTAACATTTTAACTTCAGAATATCTCCTAGCAATACCTTGGTTCCAAAACCAAATCGCCCGGTTTGAAAAAACTGGATCAGTCGGCGATCTTCCAGGATGATGTCATAAGCTCATAGTGAGCCCTGACGCAACGGTGGAAGCTGTAGGGCAGAATGTCCTTGTGGATCCATCTGTTTCTATTCGTCGTTGTTCTGCTTAACTAGGCATCGCCTGAACATCGCTTCAGGAAATTCGGAAATCCATTAATTATATTTCCAAATAAAATTTAAAAAAAAAAAAAAAAATTATTATTTTTGTTTTATATCATTCACTCTTTCAGTGACCACCTTCTATAAATGGCTGCCTTTTTATTGATACCTGCGCTGAATGAAACGCTTTTCATGCACATTGCGCAATTACTGTTGAGATCGTTCAGTAGTGAAAGATTTATACGTATGTTTCATAAAATATTAAATGGCTAATCATGCGAGGCAATGTACGCACAAACACACACGCGAACACACAGAGATGCACACACACACACACACACACACACATATATATATAGACAGACAGACAGACATATATGTGTGAGCAGTATATGTGTAATACAGATAATGTGTACGTAATACTTAATATATATCATGCAGACACACAGATATATACATAGACACACACACACACATACACATATATATATATATATATATATATATATATATATATATATATATACAACTGAATGAAGTGGTAAAAATGCGAGGCAATGTGCACTCACGCGCACAAATACACACACACACACACATATATATATATATTATGACATTTTTATATTTAACATTCTTTTTATAAATACAAATATTTAAGTAAATGCTCTGTTTATAATAAACAGTATTTACTTAAATATTAGTATCTATAAAAAGAATGTTAAAATAAAAATGTCTTAAAATAATTGTCGGACTTTGTCCATTTCATAACATATATATATATATATATATATATATATATATATATATATATATATATATATATATATATAGCTGAATAAATCTGGAAACTAGAAAATAAAATTACTATTGAAAACAAAGACGAGAGAGAAAATGTGTAACAGTGTGTGTCTGTTCAAAACCAACCGAACGTAATTCATTTTAGTTTCACGTGCAAAACGCAAAACACCATCCTGTATAATAACTTGGAAACAACGAAAAAAATGCGTGTAGTAATTTTGATAAACGAATCTGAACATATGTATATACATTTTTAAACAAATGCAGAAATGCTACGGCAAATGTGAAAATGGCGGGAAAAATGAAAAAAAAAGGGTAAATGCCCCCACCCCAACAAAAAAAAAAAAATAAAAAAAATAAAATAAAAACAAAAGAAAAGTGAACAATTGTTACGAACGCATTAGAAGCGAATTCCCCAAACAATCTAACAAGAGTTATTATTTTTATTGATTTATTGCAAGCGAAGAATAATGAGTAAATGGAAAAATCGAATGTTTCATGTCATTATATTTTTCTGCACATGTCGCAAGTCAGATACTCTGAATAGAGTTCACATCGACTCGGCTCAGTATGGCGCCTCATCCAAGCTTCACTTTTTGAGCATTATTAGCGACTTATATCCTCCCTGCTTACCCTATACTTGTCAAAAAATTACATTAATCTTATTAAAATATATAAGTATATATATATATATATATATTTGTTTACTGTACATGATTATTGTGGTCAGAAGGCAGAACTTGTTGATCCCTAGTATGTATGGTAACCCTCTCTGTCTGCCCTATAATCTGTGCTAAGTTTTGTCGGCAAAGATTTCTCCGTAAACTCGAGCTTTGTTGTGAATATAGTCCCGATCTTTTATGCATCTTCTCAATATTTAACTGACAGACACGTGAAGATCGACGTGTAGTACAATGTGCGAAACATCTAATAATAAAATAAAAGACGACACTAGACGGAATGTAAATAAAATACATAACGATATTCAAATAGGGATTATCAAAATTTATGTTGAGATAATCAAAAAAAAAATCTTTATCTTTTTGGGTTTTTTTGTTCTTTTTTTTTTTCGAGGATCAATATTCACCATCTTATAATTAACCAGTTTTACTCTAGTAAAAATACGCAATATATTCTGCTATCATAAAAGCATAAAAATAAAATCTATATGTTGGTCATGCAACTACTACTTTTTCTCGAAGACCAACTTACACCTTGTTCATCCTAAGCCCGATCCGTTCTAGATACTGATATTCGTCCAGGAGCATACATAGAAGATTATTGCGAATCCGGCTAATTATATAATACTAATGTAGAAATATGATTTCACATTATTGAAGTCTTTATTACTTAAGTAAATAATGTAATGATAAATCAAGACTTCAAAATATCAGCTATATTAAAAGATCGATTTGTTCATCTAACACGATTAATTTGCCTTGTGCATAGCATCACAAAGTTGACTCATTTAATAATGCCTAATAATGAAATTTAAGACTAAAAAGTTGAAGACAAATTTTGGTACGTGAAACTAAGAAATCTGAAGACGGCATGTCTACATATAAGGCACCACGTGCAACGATTATGCTTACTGACTATATAAACCTTTGGTTTATAATGTAAGGACGGGCGTTATCAGGCTGCAACATTAACAGTCGACTTTCTTGGTTAGAAAATGTTTGCAGTTATTAATACGCCATCAGGAATTAGATAGTGAATTGAAAACTTGCTTTAATCTATCTATCTATCTATCTATCTATCTATCTATCTATCTATCTATCTATCTATTTCTGTTTATCTATCTCTCTATCTATCTCTCTATCTATCTATCTATCTATCTATCTATCTGTTTCTCTATATCTATCTATCTATCAATCTATCTATCTATCTATCTATCTGTTTCTCTATATCTATCTATCTATCTGTCTATCTATCTATCTTGGAGGCAACATATAATGTTTGCCTCTCTGTCTGTCTTCACAGATAAATTCCTGAAACGTGGTGAAGGTAATCCGTCGAGCGGGAAGAAAACTGCTGTCTTATAGATTTTCCTTGGTTGTTAAAAACACGAGTAGAAGTCAACTCTAATGCAATGTGTTCTCGCATGCTTAACACTAAGATGGCCACCTCCTTTGACATCTTTATTTACATTACGCCGTGAAGCAGCCATCTCTAATATATTCAATATTCAAGTCAGGAATAACAAGTCTGAAAAGAAATTCATAAATATTAGTATACCTCATACTGAACAAAAAAGTGTATATATATATATATATATATATATATATATATATATATATATATATATAAATTATGTATGTGTGAGTATAGATAGATAAATAGATAGATAGGGGACATAAACACAAGTATTATTGCTCGTGAGAAATTTTTCAATGCATTTACCCTATAAATATCCTAGGTGTCAAAAACGACACCTCGGCCATTCAAGGCAAAACCTCAAATATCAGTTATTCCACTGAATAATTTTTTTAAAGAATTATGTCTGTTAAGCATCTTTGCTAAAATTCAATAATTGTCCATAAGCATCAGCAGCGTACCAAAACTTACCATTCGTACCAAAATTCCATAGTAATTTGTTGAAAATTTGAAGGTGTCGAAAACGACACCTCAACCATCCTTGTGTTTAGATAGATATCGTGTTTTGGAATGTATCTAGATTACACGACTTTATAAGGGAATGTCTGAAATATTATGCAAAATGAATAAACCTTAAATTTTGCACCGACTAAAATACGTGAATAATAAGTGTTAGAAATAATCATATTTGGTAAAGAATTCGACATCTATCTGTCTATCTTAGCCAGTTCACATCTCTCTAGTTATCTAGACATCTATCTTGGTCAGTTCACATCTATCTATCTATCTATCGATCATTTTTTTGTACATTATCTATCTATCTCTATCTCTACCATTACTCTAACGTTCCATTCATTGTTTTTTTCTTTCTTTCTACCAAAATACCTGTTAACTTTATTTCTATCAATCTATCCGTACATTACATTTCTTTATCTATCTATCTATCTATACATTTTTTTCTTTCTATCTGACTCTTTTCTTTCTATTTGTTCATTTTCTATCTATCTATCTATATATATATATATAATAATCGACTCTCCCGTCGAGATTTGACGTATGAGGGTCAAGCAGATCAGTTTCCAGGAAACCGACAGCCCGACACCGGCACATGAGATTTGATTATAGTGGTGAAGGCCTCGTGCACACTTTTTGAAGGGACGAATACAGAGACCTGGTGCACCGAATGCCACAAGGTTCCTAAACGACCCTCTGCAGGTTTTGAATTCAGAGTTGTCCTTCTCCTAGACCAGTTGCCATCCAAGGCTATAGAACCCAGTCTGTCCTGCTATTTTACCCATAGCTGTAGGGAGAGTAAGAGGATTCATACCTTTCCCAAGGGTATTAGCACGTAAGTGAATGTAATGGATTCGACTGGAATTCGAACTCGGCTCTGCGATTCCTCAATCCAAGCCGTTATCCATTACTCCACCGTGCCTATATACATATGCATATTTCAATCAATCTATCTGTCTAGTTGTTCATTATCCGTCTGCTCATATCTATCTCTCTTTTACAATTTGTTCATTATCTATCTATCTATCTATCTATCTATCTATCTGTTCATTTTCTAAGTATCTCTATGTCTATCTATCTATATGTATGTATCTTTGTATGCCTGATTGTCTGTCTGTTTACAGTGCATGAAAACTTCCTAGACAAATCAATAAAATAATGACAATTATAACAGGAAGCCGTCAAATTTCGGTTAGACATTTGTTGCGGGCCATGTGCGTGTATATATCCGTTGCGAGATGAAACAAATGTGTACTTCTGGAAAAATCACCCACAAAAAATATGGCAGTCTCAGAGAATGAGTCTACCAAAAGAAATGTAAAAGAAGACAACAGGAACCGGTATAAATGCACAAAATAAATATGTGTATTAAAAAACAAAAGAATTTACAAATGCATTACCGTGTGTGTGTTTTGAACTTGTGTTTCAATGAATGTTCATACGTCCGTTGTTCATGTGTAGATAGATATTTACTTGACCCCCACCACCACCACCACTGAGTCAGGTTGTGACACAAGGTCAGTTTTTAACGTGGGAACCCGAGTGTTTTCACTCAGGCCGCTGGGCTAAGCTGCTCTTAGCTGGTCATAGCTTGTCCAAGCTGGTCAGAGCTGGTCGAAGCTAGCCATAGCTGGTTTTAGCCGTGATACCACCAAGCACAGGGACGGAGCCCTGGGGTAGGTAAGTATAATGTACATGAAATTCCCCACAAGGGGGGACGCTATATTTTCTGCGAGAGATTACATTTCGTAGTTTGCGAAAAATGAAAGAAAGAGATAGTGTAGGGATAGTTCCCCCAAGCTATATGACGGTTCCGTATAGGATACTGGTTCGATTCCTATCGGAGGACGAATATTTTCTATGAAAATTCTCGGATATTCAGGCCGGTAAATGTTATTAATACTGTTTATTATAAACAGAGCATTTACTTAAACATTTGTATCTATAAAAGAATGTATAATCATCAAAAAATGTCTCAATATTCATATATATATATATATATATATATATATATATATACGTTCTAACTATTCTCTGTTTCGCAGTGATGTATGTACTTTTAAAAAAATATAAACATATATGTATATATATATATATATATATATATATATGTGTGTGTGTATATATATATATATGTGTGTGTGTGTATATATATATATATATATATATATATATATACACACACACACACACACACATATATATATATATATATATATATATATATATATATATATATATATATATACAGTTTATTTTATATATATAAAGGTAGGTACCTCCACTAAAAAACACTAAAAATTCAGCATCCCGTGATGAAAACATGGTTTAGACGTAATGAAAATTTTGTTTTATCGTCGAAATCGTTATGCTATTATTAAGAGGAACAATCAAATTATGTTTTGCGTATTCAATTAAATTTATTCTCCGTTTTAGAACATTCGACATTTTAATTATAAAACTTATTTTTCTTGCGTCAGCGGTTGTACTAAATTTTAGTAAAGCATGGAAAATATTGTCCTCTTCTTTGTGGTGTCACACACATTAATTTGGAAATTCTTGCAAAAATCAAATAATAGTAGGATTTTAATGACATTTTCAGGATTTATTTACAAACGAGTGAAGTTATTTTGCAATTTTTTTATCAGAAAATCTTGGTAAAAATATTTTTGTTTTTTATGAGTTTCACTTCCTTATTTAATTTGATGAAAACTTGAGAAATTCACCGTGATAATTTTTAGTGAGTATATCAGTTACAAGCAAAATTCTTTGAAGATTTTAAATCACTGAATTGTTTTTCACGAAATCTGTTCTGAATCGAAAAATAAAAAAAAAAACGAAATAAAACTAAAACATTATTTACTTAGAGATGCTTTTAATTTCTTTTATAAATAATATATATTATATACTGTCTGAATACAAAAAATCGACGAAAAATGTATTTTTATAAAATTTGTTTACATTTTAAAACTTTTTTTTTTCAATTTTAAATTGAATAATTCATAAATTTATCATTCTTTTAAAATTTATTTTTCATAGGATAAATCTTATGAATTATAATTATTAACTTGTGTGAGAAGAATCAAGTTTAGAATCATAATGAATCAAATAACAAAATATCACAATAAAAATGCCAGCGTATACAAAATGATGCAAATTACAAGGAAGATGCTACAATAAAAGTGTCTTAGTGAGGTCAGGTACAGTTAGAAGTGTAGATTTACCTTGGAGGTATAACATATGAATATTATTTTTAATAGTTCTTATAATTTGATGTGAATTGCCGAATTCCGTGAGTCCAATGTCTGCAAGGTAAAACATTGTTTTTACAACAGTACTTGTTCTCTATCGTAGAAACAACTATTTTGTTGCAATAGACGGGGTGAAAACGAGACTTAATTCTGGCGTGAAAACGACAGTTTGGTTGTCAAGATTTCCTTGAGGAAAGGCATCATCCCGGCCGCTTCCTTTGACTCCACACTTGGACCATGTTTCGCATGTTTTTAGAAGGCTTCATATTATGATTCTCGACTGTCGCATCTAACTCCTCGCCCTCGTGTATCCAACGTGGTCGAAATTGTGGCCTAATCGTGCAAGTTTTCTTGCTACTTTTAGAAAAATATAATTTATTTGTAAAGAAATTTATTATCCTCTTTTACCCGTATCTTTCCCGGCATTCACCCGAGGTTGGTTGAGCCGGCTCCAATATTGGAGTTTCATGGGAATTTGGAATTCACAAGCGGTCCCCAAACCCGCATGTATAGCACATGAGATTTGATTATAGTGGTGAAGGTTTCGTGCAGGACCATCTACACTTTTTGAAGGGCCGATTAGAGAGATCTGGTGCACTACGTGCCACAAGGTCCCCAAACGACGCTCCGCTGGTTTTGAATTCAGAGTTTTTCCTTCTCCTAGACCAGTTGCCATCCAAGGCTATAGTACCCAGTCTGTCCTGCTATTTACCCATAGCTTGAGGCAGAAGAAGAGGATTCACACTTTTTCCTTGGGTGTTACTCCATCATGCCTCGTCTTATCCCCTTTTTCCGGGTACAGAAACCACCAAATTTGTGGATCCCTAATATTTGGTAATATTTGCTTTTATTTTAATAAAAATTATTTTGGCTGAGTATCTCTTGTCATTTTAAATTTTATTTTTATTATTTATTTCATTATTTAAAAACATTCACATTTTATACCTTCAAGGTAAATTTACACTTTTAACTTGGTTCGATCACATTGAAATCCTTTTATTGTAGCTTCTTCCTTGTAATTTGCATCATTTTGTATCCGCTGGTATTTCTCTTTTGATATTTCATGTTATTAGATTCAATTTGATTGTAGACTTGATTTTTTTTCACACAACTACAATTGAGTTTATTTTAGAAAAATAATCTATTTGTAAAGAAATTTATTACACCCTTTTCCAGCTGCATAAACCACTAAATTTATGGATCCCTACTATTTAGTAAAATTTGTTTTTATTTTAATAATTTTTTTTTTTGTTTTATATATCACTGAGCAGCACCCGTCCTTTTAAAGATTTATTTTCATTATTTATTTTATTATTTATTTTCATTATTTATTTTATTATTTGAATTATTTTCAAAATTAAGTCTTATTTTCATCCTGTTTATTGTAACAACATAGTCGTTTCAATGACAGAGTATTGTTCTCAAAATAACGCTCTACGTTGAAGACTCTGAAGGCCCTGACGGATTCTCTCATAAACTTAAAAAATTGACATCAAATCTCAAGAACTATTAAGAAGCATTCACATTTTATACCTTCAAGGTAAATCTAAACTTTTAAATTGTTTCGACCTCACTGAAATTCTTTTTATTGTACCTTATTCCTTGTAATTTGGATTGTTTTGTATACGCTGGCATTTTTATTGTGATATTTTATGCTATTAGATTCATTATGATTGTAAACTTGATTTTTTTCACACAACTACCATTGAGTCTTATTTTTAAAAAATTATTTGTACTAGAATTTATTGTCCCCTTTTCTGGGTGTGCAAGCCTCCACATTCCTAATATGTTTTTTAAGCATTTCATCCCAAGTAAGGCGGGAAGCCACTGGCACGCAAGGGGTTACAGAGGATTTGAAGCGAGAGCAGATAGGAGTGATAGAGGAAAGGATGAGGAGAAGGATAGGGGATAGATCAAGGAAACTGGAGATGTGGATTCACATTACATTTGAATAGTTGGAGATTATAGCTATCAGGGAAACAGGAAAAGGGGAAGGGAATTCCACAGGCGAGAGGTGCGATATATGAAGCTATTGGAGTGGAAGAGACGGCCACACTTAACAGTTTCAACAGTGAAAGAGTGAGAGCGGGATGCCAGCCTCGTAGGGTGCTTGAAATTATGAAGTCTGGGAACCAGCGAATGCAGCACCTCGGAGCAATTACCATGAAAGTATTTGTAAAAAAGACAGAGAGAGGAGACGGCACGTCTGTGAGAGAGCGACTGCAGACGAGATGCCAGAACAGGGCCAATTATATTGCATATCCGTCTCTGGATCTTATCAAGAACCCCGAGGCAAACAGAAGGTGCTCTAGACCATATATGACAGCAATACTCCATCCAAGGGCGAATGGTTGATTTGTAGATTTGAAGGATCGATTCCGGGGAGAAAAATTCCCTGGCGCGGCACAGGGAGCCAACTTTCCTTGCGGTGGACGAAGCAATTGACTCAATGTATTTGTTCCATCTCAGGTCAGCAGACAATGTGAGACCGAGCAGCCGCAAAGAGGTGCTCTCGAGAAGTTGAGCGTCAGACATTCTAATGGGGGCAGGGAAAGATCTCTGTGGTGATTAATAGAGAGCAGTTTTGTTTTTGAGATGTTAACCAGCCAAATCCTGCCCCAGTTCACAACCGATTTGAGGTCCTTTTCGAGACGAATTGTGGAGAATTTGCTTTTATTTTATTTTATATCTCATCATTTTTATGGTGGGCCTTGTTGTCACTTGATATCGAAGCTCACCAATCTCTTTGAACTGAACCCACACATATATAGAGTAATAACTTTCTTTTTTCCCTATTTTATTTCTTTTCATGCCGCATACACAAGAAGCATTGCATGACACTTGCTGCCTTCAGGAGCCGCTTTTGTTCTCATAGGAATC